CATGAGGTGCCATGTTGAACTTCCAGTGACTAGTATGAGAGCGTGAGAGTGATAACACTAAATTTAACACACCTGCTCCTCCTTCACACCTGAGACCTTGTACCACTAGCGAGTCGCATTACACCAGGGAGGGAAAACGGCTCCTTGGGCCCCATTTGGCCATTATCACTTAGGGGTGTACTCACTTTTGTTGCCAGCAGTTTAGACATTAATGGCTGTGTGTTGCATTATTTTGAGGGGACAGCACATTTACACTGTTATACAAGCTGTAGACTCACTACTTTACATTGTAGCCAAGTGTCATTTCTTCAGTGTTGTCACATGACAAGATATACTTAAATATTTACAAAATGTGAGGGGGTGTACTCACTTCTGTGATATACTGTATCATTTAATGATTTTTGGGCTACATGAAACCAAGTTTAGAGCAGTTTTGAACCCTTTCAATGATACAAATGATCTCTGTAAAGGCAGATTGTGGAAATGTTTTATTTGTTCACAATCTAATATCATATCACACACTGTTAGTACAGTCCTATATTTTTTTGTATTTTCTTTGTGTGTGTTGTTATTTTCCACCTCCTCTTTGCACCCACCTCTGGCTGCCACATATAAACCTGTATATAGACCTTCTTTGTAGTTTGGGCCTCAATAGTCACTTGCACATCCTCGTTTACTGGCAAATGTAAATTTTTGTTTTATGCACAGATGTGTTGCTAACAGTCACGTACAGAAAATGACACTATTCTAGGTCTGATATAGTTGACCAGTAATTGCTTTCCCCTGTTGTTTTTCCTGTACCTTCAAGGCAGAATCAGCCTTGCATGGCCTCTGTGATAGAGAGCTGAATGAAACTGGATCTGTGAAAAAAGGACAAGCACTCTGGGAATTGCACAGCCTGCATGCCTTTCGCTCAACAGGGCACTGACTGGGACATTTCCACAGTGGGGCTTTTTCAAAAGGGGCTTGCACTGCAGTTCCTGCTAAGGGCAGTACAGTAGGTCAAACGCCGATAGAGTTACAACCTCTCTTTTGTGAAGGTGTTGGACAAATTAGACCTCACAACTGCTTACACAGTCAAACAGGGACAGCTGCATCTCTCCACTCTCCAAAACCTGTCTGACTGCTGTTTCTTTGGGGAGCCATTTGTGAGAAGTAAGCAGGCTCGGTGATCAAATGATTGTTCAGCAGTTTTACCTCTGTCACTGCTGGGGGTGATGTGAATGGCCCCTTAAACTGAATCAGTGTGATCTTTGTGTAATACATGATCAAGCTGCCATTTTGGACTGTTATTCTAATGAGAGCTGACTAATGGTAGACGGTGCAAAATGACTTCTTTGGCAGTTGGTGGGAAAAATTGGCACTAGCGTCTGTAGATGCAGTTGTTGTATTTTACCTTTTATATGAAAGTAAAACTGAGCTTTTGAACAGTCTGGTAATACAGTAGCTTAACTTGACAAGTGGGTGTATAGAATATTTCTTTGAGCTCTTCCATTATTAAGAAAAAATTTGAATTGTAATTACAACAGTAATGAAACAGAGAATGCTGATATCCCCTCACAGTCTCTCTTGATGCTGTCGCAGATACTGGGGAGTCTTCCAGATTGGATTTAATAAGGCCATCAGGACAGGATGTGCTATATTCACACAAGGTCAATAATCAGGGGATGCATGAATTTGTAATTTCAGAGTTTGTGGTTTAAATGCTGTGTAGGACTGTTGTGTTGCTAATTTTACAAGTTTAATATAAGTTAAATAGTCACAATTTTTAGCAAGTTGAACTTATAATAAATTATGTAATTTAAATTCATAATTTAAAAACAAAGTGCATGTTCCCAGTGTTTTTCACCCATTGATTTATTTGTCATTACACTAAGAGCAGTGTGTGGAAATTTCTTCCTTTTAAAACAACTTTTTAAAAGTTAATTTGTAGCAAAATTAAGTACTGTCGTTAGTTATTTGCTAATACAAGTTAGTGTCTTGTGGCTTCTAATAGAACCGCAACTAACAATTCTTTTTCATTTTATTGATTACTTTAATTGTTCTGTCTAAAACGCATTAAAATAGTGAAAATGCCCATTTCTTAAGATTATTTTGTTAGCTTGTTTCATTTGATCAACAGTCCAAAATCAAAAAGATTGTGTACTATCATATATGACAACAAAATGTCAAATCAACATATCATTTGAGAAGCAAGAACTAGAAAATGTTTGAATCATGATGGAAATAGCCTACTGCTTGGTTATCACCGATTATCAAAAGAGTTGCTGCTTAATTTCTTGTAGATCAACTAATTGATTAATCAAGTAATTGTTGCAGTTTGAGATTCTAATCAGGGATGAATTTTGAATTGAACCATTATCAGGCTACTAGAGAGCTTACAGATAATGTAATGTTTTCAAAAAGCTAATTATGATGAAGTTAAAATGCCTTGGTCTAAAGATCAATACATTTATCAACAAATGTTTCCAAGTCTAGCAAAAAAAACATTTCAGATATCCACTAGAAAATTTAGTGTTGCTTATCTAAGTTGTCAAAACAAATGCACCATGGCTACTAAATGGAAACAAGAACTTACATACATAATGCTGTTAAGAAGATCATTTGGGGCCCCTCTGTGTACTGCTTGGCTGTGTTTTTTCCAGTAGTCTATATAAGCACAAAGAGAATCATCCTGTTTGTGGTGGTATTGATCTTATCGCCCTTACCACCACTCTAGTGTTTTGTATTCAGGCTTCCTTATTCTTCATATTTTTATTGCAAAGGCAGATAAGAAGTACAGATGCGAGTCTTAATTATTCAGGTGCACTGAGCTCTCAGCACAGTAAGCGCAAGATTTTCCAAACCTTGACTTTTCTAGTACCGGTTCTTCCTTGTGTTTAACACCATTGACACTAGTTTAAAACGACTTCCTAGAGGTTGAGCCACTGGTCTCAACATAACACAAGTTCTTCATTTAGGATATCCATAAGGTGCACTGATAACTTTCCCCCCCAGAATAGAGTATCAACACTATCAAGCTCTTCATCTGGTGGATTGGCTGATGCTGTGTAACCGTCTACCCCAAGTATATAAATACAGCAGTTACATGAATATGCATGCCTCTACTTTTGCATGGTGCAGAGTAATAAGGCTTGTCAGTGGCTTGACAAGTCACATTCTTCATCATTCCTCAACGAATTTTAAGAATCTCCAAAATTTTTCCTCAGAAGATTGTAACTATTCAAAATACCATTGTTTGGCCAATGTTGAATGCCAGTACTAATACAGTAATAACTGTACTGATAGAGCTGCCAAGAGCTACTAAGGCACATTAAAAGTTCTGCAGCATAATTTTAGTGTAGTGTGGAATCAAACACGCATTAAAGACGTTGGAGACCTGTTTTCACAGCCTCTCATGATGAGCACAAACAAGTTGATACCCAGCTTTTTCTTGCCAACAAAAAGGCCCTGTAGTCTTGTAAACCCATGTTAATCTGAGAACATGATTTAACACATCTGAATTGTGAAAAAAGAATTAATAGCCTTAATTTCTAAAGGTTCCATTTTGATCATACCTTTTTAAAAAGTTTTTTTTAATCTGTTGATCTGCAGTAGGCTATTTCCATCATTAGATAAATGTACAAGTAGCATGATGACCTTTCAACTATATTGTGTAAGCAGATACAACAAACTAGTGTTCTCCTGAGACATACACTAATTCATTCATGCTTTTAAGCTCCTCTGTTAAAGCAAGATTACTATTGTACCCTTGAGTTGAAAAGGCATCGCTCCATAAACCATGTGGGGGTGTGTGAGGCCAGCTACTCCTTATTTATCAGCAGTGACACTATCAGCAGTGCCTTGTGAAAAGAGAGCCAGTCATTCAGAACAGTGGGGCCACCTTGGCTGTCAAAGCAGGATTTAGGCTACATTTCCCATGGTTGCCATGACGACTGTGGGAAGTGATTATGAAGAGAGGGTTTTGGAGCAGTGCTGTCACACCAGTGGGTATTACCATTGTGGTTTGCGCAGTGATCATCAGAGAATTACTGGCTCATGATCAAAAGATTTTTTTTGTTTTGTACCCAGTGAAATGCTCTGTTCTGTAAAGGTAGATCTGTAGTATAATTATTAAGTCTGAATTATTAGACTAATAATGCTCTCTTCTTTTTTCTTTCTAGGGCAAAATGTGGTTAAATGGGACAGGAACGAGTACACCGTGAGGATTCTCTAACCCTTGCCCCAGAGTCCCAACCGTCTGAGAGGGTGTCGGACCTCACTGAGGCAATCCTGGGCCGTTGGCACTAAAATGTCCCTAAGTGGTGGCACTGCAGGCGGGAAAGGTGTGGACTCTAATGCGGTGGACACTTATGACAGCGGGGATGAGTGGGATATCGGTGTTGGCAATCTGATTATTGACCTTGACGCTGACTTAGAGAAGGACAAACTTGAGATGTCTGGTACCAAGGACGGCATGGCGGCACCACCAAGTGCAGTGGCAGCATTGCCTGACAACATCAGGTTTGTTAGTCCAGTGTCTGGCTCTCAAGGCAAGGAAAGCAAATCCAAATACAAGCGCAGTAAGAACTCTAAAGACAATACTAGCAAAGCTTCGGCTGGAGATGGGGGTAAAAAAGAAACTACAGGACGGACTCAAGGGGAGCCAACAGGCACAGCAGCGAGTGCAGTAGCTGCTGGCAATAATTCCACCTCTGGGAAGAACATGGAAAAGGGGGGCAAAGCTTCTAGAGGTGTTCTGAGCGGTAAAAAGGAAAAAGAAGGGGCCAGTGGGAAAAGTAAGAAGGACAAAACAGATGGAGCCCCAGTCGTGGCAGTAGCTGCTGCAGAGAAGGATGTTGTGTCTCAAGCCCAAGTTGCTTTGGGGAATAGTCGTAATTCATCCTTTGAGAACACACAATCAGCAGACTTGGCAGAAGCCAATCAAATGGGGAATATTGCACTTGAACCTGTTGGGATAATACCAGCACTGACCACAAAAACTGAACCAGAGGATGTGGAAAATGGTAATACTGAATGCAAGACATTAAAGAAAGTTAAAAGTGAAAAGGTAAGTTTTTCTTTGTGCTCTCTGTTGATGCTGCATGAATGTGTTTGGTGTTTTGTTATGCATTATTTTACTGATTAGTCTTGATGAAGGCAGCATGATTTGGGAAAATTGAATCGCAATTGTGATTTTTATATGCTATTTTCCAGCTTTTCTTCTGTGGTCGATTCACTCCAAATAAACTTTACTGTAAATCGCAGTAAGAAGACCAAGCCAGCATCCTCATACATGCACCAGTGGTGCTGAGGGTGGGGCTTAGTTTGCTCTGTATTAAATAGTATTTCTGTTTTTCAGTTTTCTCTCTATAACTACAGTACAGCAATAAATACAGGGCAGACATTTTTCTTCCTTCATTCATAAATTCTGCAGATATGAGCTCATCACAGACTGTAATCAGTGTATTAGAGTTTCTGAGAGGAAAACTAAGCTATACAAAATCACCCTGCCTAATAAACTCACACTGGCCTTTATATGCTGTAAAGGTTGACTGGTGTTTGTACTGGACTCACTGGGAGCTACGGCCCTGAATCCTCTGTACCCTGCACAGCTACTGCTGCTAGATGTACTGAACTATTTGAAGCCAAGTGAGACAATAGCAGTCACTGCTGCTGCCTCGGTGTTTAATGATGGCAGTGGTATGAACGGTAGCTGTGTGGCATAGCCGTGGGAATGATCTGTCTGTAGTTAGTGGAGGGAGACAGAGATGAGGAGAACAGCCAGCGGGCTGTGCTGCTCCACATGTGCAAAGATGACCGAGCCTGTCTTTATTCCTGTGATCCCACAGCTTTTCTAAACTGGTTTAGTTTTACTTAGTCTTATGATGCTTCCAGCATTAAAAGTGAGAAATTGTGTCCTGTATTGATCCACTATGAGACAATGGGAGGGAGTGTTTTATTTATCATAACGGGTGATCTCATATTATAATGGACAGGTGATAAATGTAGGGTTTTTTTTTTTTATGTTGGAAAAAAATTGGTGTTGCCTCACATGGTCAGTACCTTAACCAAGCAAGTTCATTAACTACCTGTTCCTGCTGTGGATCCAGTGATCTAAAACTAGAATAGGTCCAGACGACCGACATACTATTTTGCTTTGACATCAGAGTTTTCTCTTGGTTGTTTGGTTTTGGTTTGGTTTACTTGGTTGACAGGGGTGTGTGTATCTCTCACTCTAGTTACTATATGATACTGTATGATTCGGAGTGATTTTGATTCAGGAAATATTCTTTTCTAATTTAGCTTTTATTTGAAAGACTATACATATTAAAGTATCGGTTTAGGACCTAAAATTAAAACGGGTTAGTGTTTCCTCAGCGCACATTTGTATTTCAAGCAGCAAAAGCCAAACAGATAAATCGTGATGTTTACTCTTTCTAAAGATAGTAAACAATGGGCACTGGTGAACATTAAAACTCCCACTGCTATTTCGCCTTATTGTACAGAGCTGGAATGCCTTTTTCACTTAAATCCTGCTGACGTGTTATTGTATGCCTAACTTCAATCAGTCATTTGTCTAAATCCCACATTTTCAACAACACAGACACGTGTCCTTGCAAATTAAATGGCTTGTAGCTTCAATTATTGACTTCAACCCGACTGAGTGGAATTATCAACTGATGTGCTCTCAAAGTAACTACTAACAACACTACTACTTTTACTTGCCTCAAGCTGACTGTCCTTGCAGCAAACTGTACTGTTTGTATAGGTTCAACAGTGTGTCGCCTTCATAACATGACTACTAGCGAGGTCTGGTATTCTCGACACAAGTGCTGCATGTTCTGCACTCTGAACATAGTGTTAGCTAGTAACACTATCTCTGTTGCTTGCTTTAAGCTGACTACCAGAGGCCGAACAACATAGCACAGGGCCTTGGTGCAGACCATACTGTTGGGCCCTCATCCCATAATTCAGTTCCTATAAAGGGCAACTACTTGCTTTGGCCAACAACAGACTACCAGTCATTGTCCTACATATAGCCTCACTATAATCAATTAGAAAATAGCACATACTCACACCAGTAAAAATGCTCTCAGCACAGTGAAAAGGCCATGGACACTGTGGCAGATGCAACATGGACATGAATCAATAATTAAACAGTCAGCAGATAAAAGTACCATAGCCATGGTATATTACACGTGTAGAGGTATATGCAGTATAATTTACACCAAAACAAGTGCAGTCCAAAAGCTATTATACTGTAGGCTGATTCAAAACAGAGTGTGTGTATTTTTTTTACGCTGGCAAATGTAAACACATATAAAGCTGTGCTGCTATTGTATGTCACTTTAACTTGCAACTCATCTGCACTTGACTGTACTCACCTATTTGGATTCTCCATGATACATATGACTTTGTCAGATTTCTTGGCTTTATCGTTTTCAAATGTGGGAAAGTCCAGGCTACACCTCTATGTTAATGGAGGAGGGACCACTGTGCTGCTAGCCAGGGTGTCCTCTGTTGTTTTTACCTAACATTAGCTCATGTTTGCCTGTATTTGTTAATGACAACAAAGAGCAAACCAAAAAATAATCAATTTTCTTCAGTTTTGAAACTTCGTATTCCAGATCTCGCTTCTCCCTTCCCTTTGAGCGTTTCGCTTGCCTTTGTACGTCTATGGCATTTTGAATGAACGCAGGGTTTTTCCTCAAAGCTGAAGTTCATCAGTGAATGCTGGGAGGGTGTGTTTGATTTATATAACTTTGCCTGCTCCATGGGTGGAGCAAATGTAGCTATAACCTATGAGGAGATAAAATTACAGTAACCTTAATGGTAGCATGTAATTAGTCCCCCAACTGACTTAGCATTGCTGTACATAATTAATTTGCATTATTCGAACATTCATGTTGTCCTAAGTGTCCGTCTGGGCCCCCAGATGGTGCAGGCTGAGGTACAGCTGCACTGCCTGCTCAGCCAGTGCTGACTGCTCTGGCAGCTAACTATACTCTTTTGACCAGTTCAGCAATGTGTACCTTCGTAACCTTTTTCTCTCAAGGTCAGTTGTATTCCTGGTATAGGCTACTCGACACAAGCACTGCACGTTTAGCAGTCTGAGGTAGTAATGTTGCTTTTGTCAATGAAAATTATGACTAAATATAGTCGTCAATGAACCTTTATCACTTGACGAAAACGAGACGAGATGCAACGTAAATGCTGGTCATGTGACGACTGTAAATGTAAAATGCAATATTGTTGATGGAAAAAAAGACACTAAATGAGGTTTACAAAATAAAAACTATGCTAAAATGTCTACATTTTCATTGACCGAAACAAAATGAAATGAGATGTTATAACGTTATTTTGTTTCAAAATGTCTCCATTTTCATTGACCAAAATGAAATGAGATGTTATAACTTTATTTTGTTTTGTTTAGTCGGGTTATTATTATTATTTTGCAGTATTTCTGTTTCCTGTGTCTCGCTTCAGGGGCTGCATCAGGTCGCACTGCGCAGACGCAGGTGATGTCACCTCCTTAAGCCCCACTCGCGGCATTATTTAGAAGATGACAACAGAGTTAAGTCTGACACAGAGAAAGGGACCGATGGCCGGCCAGGATTCATCTTTGGGAGAAAAACAAGAAACGACATTTGGACATAGAAGCGGAAAAAGATGTGGAAAAAGATGGGGGGAAATGCGGCCATAAAATGACACAAAATGTGTATTGGATGTATTTATGAGTCTATAAGGTAACAATAATATAATAAGATAACCTTGTTTGAAATGGGTTTGGCTAAAAGAAAATTTTAGTTTCGTCTATACTACTAGGTACTTATACTATATTGACTGGGTTAAATAGAATTGCATTACTAAAAAGAGACATACAATTTTCATTGACTAAAACTAGACTAAATGTCATCAGTTTTCGTCGACTAAAACTAGACTAAAATAGTCATGGATAATTCTGACTAAAATAAGACTCAAATGTTCAGACTTTTAGTTGACTGAAACTTGACTAGACTAAAAAGAGTATGAGTGTGACAAGAACTAATAAAAACTAAAATGACAGCTTCACACAAAGACTAGACTAGACTAAAATTAAAACAGGCCACCAAAAACAAATGTATGAGGTAACTGCTAAAACTAGCACTGTGTGCTCATGCAGCTAACTCTACTGTGTGTGGCATTTTTCCTGGACCAGTGTTGATAAGAAGGTGTGTTTGAACACCGGCAGGAGATGGTGTGTGTGTGCGTGTATGTATGTGTGTGCGTGTGTGTATGTATGTGTGTATATATATATGTATGTATGTATGTATGTGTATATATAATATGTATATATGTATATATACACACACACACGCACAGAGGCAGACACTAGAGCGGAGCACAGCAAGAAGTAACAGAAAACTTGCTAGAGATTGATTGATTTATGAGGTCCGTGTTGATTTTAGAGTTCTTTAAAAGTCATTTGGTTTGAATCTGTGGTTTTCAGCCGATGCAGCCGTAAATGTGACTCCTGTATCAATTTTTCGATTCATATCAGTTTGTCTTTACGCTCCTGTTGGTTGACGTTTGGGTTTGCTTCTGCTGTGGCTGGTTGTTTTCAGTGTGGCTAGCAGCACCAAGGTGAAATTTATTGGTGTGTCTTTTCTTTGTCCACTCTCACTCATTTACTCAGCAGGTTATACTTGAAGCCTGCTGAGAAGGGTGGAGCGGAGGGCAGAGAGAGGGGAGGCTACATGGATTTCTTAGATTCTGTAGCATTTAAAAACAAGTTATTGGTTTGAAAATCATGATCTATTAAATTGCGAGTTTGAGTTTTAAACAATTGTTCAGCCCTAGTCTTGGGTTACGAATGTATTTCTCAAAGGCAGTTATAAATTCTAAGGTTTATTGAAGATGTTCAATTGTCAGTTGGTGGCTTGTGTTGCATTGTTATCTTAATGTTTGTAAAATTACTGTTGACAGAAGTTTAGTTAACTGAAGCCATTTGCAGCTACATTTGTATCAAAATAATAAATTACTTTAATAACAGATGTGCCCACAAATATTTTTTCTGTTATGAAGCTT